TTTTTTGATAACATGGTTTACGCACAAATACTTTCGAAATCATTTAGAAGATTCTGTATCTATAGGACGACCGTTATTGATTCAAGATGTAGGGAAGAATTAGATCCAATATTAAATAATTTGTTGGAAAAAATTTTATAAAAATAGGACCTCCTTTAAAGTAAGACGATATTTTTCGTACTTTTTTCTGTATAATTTTACACCTGTGACGTAAAATTTATTATAATTTATTATAATAGGTTAAATTAGGTGACAAAGAAGTGGATGTTAGCAAAGATTTTAGACTTTATATCACAACAAAATTACCAAATCCTTCTTATACTCCCGAAATATTTGCCCGTGCGTCTATAATCGATTTTACTGTTACGATGAAAGGTAAAATGATGTTATATACTGTGTGCATAATGTTTCATAAATATATATTTTTAAATTATATTTATATTATTTAATTTTTTCACTTAAATTATCTTACGTTTACAGGCCTAGAGGATCAACTTTTAGGAAGAGTTATTTTAACAGAAAAAAAATTGGAGATAGAAAGAACGCAATTGATTGCCGATGTAACTGCAAATAACAGAAAGATTAAAGAACTAGAAACGAATCTTCTACATAAATTGGGAACCGTGCAAGTATGCGTTTCTCTTTCAAACGTTAATTAAATAACTGTGAAATATACAAATTTAATAATATCATTTTTATGATATTTTCATATTTTTTAAAGGGCCCTTTGATAGAAGATGTTGAATTAATGTCGGTATTAAATATCACGAAGCAAACAGCAGCGGAAGTAAATGAAAGCTAAGTATTGCAAAGGATACAGAATTAAAAATCGATACAGCACGGGAAGAATCCGGCCAGTTGCAACGCGTGGTAGCGTTTTATATTTCCTGATATGTGACATGCCGCATGTCAATTGCATGTACCAAACATCCCTCGTTCAATTCTTAGAACGATTTGATATCTCAATGGAGAGGTAAATACGAATTTTCGCATAATGATTTGCAATACGTTATGTGACAGATGTTTATAATATTAATAAATACAATCTGTTTTTGTGGTTGAGATACAAATATTAAATTATAACTCTCTCATTAGATCGGAGAAGAGTCCAGTCAATCAAAGAAGAATAAATTACATTATCGAGTATCTAACGTACTATATTAAATACAAATCACGAGGATTTTACGAGATACACAAATATATGTTCATTTTATTGATGACGCTAAAAATCGATCTACAACGTGGCAGCATTACGCACGAAGAGTTCCAATATTTTATTAAAGGAGGTGCAGCGTTGGATCTAAAAGCGGTCGATCCGAAACCTTGCAAATGGATTACGGATGTGACATGGCTTAATTTGATTGCACTCTCGTCATTGCGACAATTTCAGTACATCGTATCTCAAGTAGCCGCTTCCTCCGAGAAGTTTGGAAACATTGGTTCGACAAAGAAGCACCAGAGGAAGAAGTTATACCAGATGGTTATAATACTTTGGACACGTTTCGCCGATTACTCTTATTAGGTGATCTTCTAACATATTTTTGTGTAGTTGAAAGTTAGGACTCGACCAAATATTACATAAAAATATTTTTCATGTATAAAATAAATAAAATATTCGGAAAAGTTTAAGTATCTCGAATCAAGGATTTCAAATATCAATAGATTGTGTTCTTGAAATTTAATTGAAAATACAAAAATTTAAATATATTTTTATGTCACTTGTGTGTGCAATTTAAATGAAATGAAATGTGTTACAGAGCTTGGTGCATGGACAGGACGTTGTCGCAATCTAGGAAAACATAACGTCGTCCTAGGAGCGAAATATGCAGAGCCCGTAATTACGCTTCTGGACGTGATGCATAGCGAGTCAAGACCAAACACGCCAATGATTTGTTTCTTAAGTATGGGGTCGGATCCTACACCTAGTATCGAGCAACTTGCAAAGAGATGGAAATCATTTGTAGAAGCGTATCGATGGGACAGGGTCAAGAAGTTTATGCTCGTCGATTACTTAATAGCGCGAAAACTGAGGTAATACGCTATAGAGAGAATTTTTTTCTATTTCAGAAAAGTATCTTAAATATTCTTAATTGCACAATTTGCAGGTTTTTGGGCTTTATGTCAGAATTGTCATTTAGGCTTGGAGTATATGGTGGAATGGCAAACTTTCTTTTAGAGATGGAGGCACCTCATCCAGATTTCCGCGTATGGATTACGACAGAACCGCACAAAGACTTTCCCGTTCTTTCTTTGCTGCAAATGTCTATAAAATATACATACGAACCTCCGCAAGGTATTTATTTATTTCTTTGAATAAACATAAATAATAAAATATATAACATCTTATATAAGAAATTGTGAAAGCAGGATAATCTAAATATGATTTTCTGCATTAGGAATACGCGCAGGTTTGTTGGCGACGTATAGTGGTATGAATCAGGATATATTGGATCAATGCGATGCCGCGCAATACATACCGCTAATATATACCGTGTCTTTTCTCCACACGATTGTTCAGGAAAGACGGAAATTTGGTCCTCTGGGATGGAATATACATATGAATTTAATTTGGCGGATTGGTTGGCGTCCTGCATGTTTTAAATAATCATTTGAATGATTACGATGCGAAACGCGGTATAAATTGGCAGATTATGCGGTAAAATGAAAATTGTACATTATCTCTTTTTCCATTTGTGAAATGCTGTTAATATTTTTTTATTGTATAAATGTATTACGTTTACAGTTATATGATAGGTGAAGTGCAATACGGCGGACGTATTTACAGACGATTATGATAAAAGACTGTTAAATACTTTCGGCGAAAGTATGGTTTACAGATGCGCTTTTGCGGAAGGTTTCACTTTTACAAGGGTTATCCTCTCTTGATATTTAAACTTGTGAGCGATTATCTAAAGGCGATAGATGCTATGAGTACCATAGATCCGCCGCAGTATATGGTTTACCATCCAAATGCAGATATTACGTAAGTTTTTTTTCGAGAAAGGAAACATATGTCGGAATAGCAGAGCTACGTAAAGAATTGAGAAATTATGTGTGCATTGTATTGCAGATATCAGAGTAACACTACGCAGACTGTATTAATACGATAATATCTGTACAACCGAAAGAAGCTGGTGTTGTTGGCGCAGAATCCCGAGAGGTTGTTGTTATAAGACAGGCAAAGGAAATGCTAGAAAAAGTTCCAGCATTGTATAATATGTTTCAAGTTAAAGACAGGTTTGTCATTTTGTTTATTTATTATGTTAATTTAAATTTTTTTTACGAATATCAATAAAGTTATAACAACGTATTTTTTGAAGGCTGATAAAAATAATATTCTTTAACGTTATCGTAGATTATACGCAATGGATCATGTTGCCCCGATGAATATTTTTCTAAAGCAAGAGATCGACAGGATCAAGTAGTTTAAAATTGGTCCGCGATACCCTCAAAGATCTTCTACTGGCTATAGAAGTGTAGTTATAATGACCGAGGTAATTTTCTTAGAGTTCTAATATATTATATTGTTGTTAAAGCAAATTTTACAAGACGAATAAATGTCGGTACATTAAAGGAATTACGAGATGCCCTCGATAATATATACGACGCGAAAAAACAAGAATCTGAAGCTCGATCATGGGAATCCGCTTCTTGGGCTTCTGGTTTACGGAACTATTAGAGAGAAACCAACAATTCTCGACTTGGCTGCATAGTGGGGAGACCGACAAAGTTTTTGATGACCGGATTTTTTAATCCACAAGGTAAATAACATCATTTTCATGTTAAATGAGTTCTTGATGCAATTTTATAAAAATATGAAGCTCGATTGACTTGAAAACTGGGAGTTTATAGGTTTTTTTAACGGCGATGAAGCAGGAAGTAACGCGGGCTCATAAATGGGCTTTGGATAATGTACGCTTCATAATGAAGTTTTGCGTAATATGCCAGAGGAAATAAAAAAACCGCCACCTGTATGTAATAATAATTAGTGCAATATACGTATACAACGTCTTACGTAAAATGAGTATATTGATATTTGTTAAAACAGGAAGGTGTTTATATTTATGGACTATTTTTGGAAGGTGCTGGCTGGGATAGGAGAAATAGCCGTTTGTGTGAATCGCCAATAAAGTTCTTTGGTATTAATGCCAGTAATACATATTTTTATTCTGCATAATGCCCCAGATAAGATGCCGAAATTATTCATGTAATTATAAAGTATGACTAGTAATTTTTAAAATTAGTTACAATTTTATAGATAATGAAACATAATAAATATATAATTGAATTATATATATATATAATATATATATTTATGTTTAAATACATATACATAATTCTAAATAATATTTTTTATAAAATATACATATAATATATATTAAAATATATCTTGTGTTTTTGAATATCTTAGTCGAAAGTTTACTTAAAGAAAATTTCGATTGGTAGCGCCGTAGCTTTTGTACAAATACAATTGTGATTTTAATACATTAGTGCGTGATGTCATCATGCTTGATATTTCTTTCTATGCTTATGCAATATTTTCCCCTGCCGTGTCCCATATATAAAAAACCTCAGAGAACTTACATGTTGTTAATAACACCGCTTTGGCTGCAAACTATGAAAAGTTCCTGATTATTGGATATTACGACGTGGCGTCGCTCTGTTATGTGATAATAAATAATTATATTATTAATAGAAACAAAATTACATTTAAACCTCTGTTACAAATTTTTCACGCCTTATATGTGCATTAAAGTTTTGTCTTAGTTTTAAATAAAATATTAGAAAAATAAAAAAACAAAATCTAGTATATTATCGAGAATTATAATAAAAATAATAAATAATCTATATTGTGAACACTTTTATGAGAAATAATTTTAAATTTTCTGTATTATCGATGTAGCGTTCAATTCACATAAAGTGGCGCCCTCTGTTTCCGATCGCGACCACTACTTAGGCGCATTGTTTGCAAGACGAAGTGAATCGCGCGGGACGTAACGCGAGTGCTCCCGTGATATTCGTTGTTATATGAATATATCCGTCGAAATCCACGCATAAATAATTACCCAAACGTCATCGACGTCCTAATAACTTTGTTGACAATGTAAGTATATATATTATTATATCATTTTACAATATTATCTTATAATACACACATTGCGGGCAAGTTTTACATTTCGACTATTTCGACTATTGCGTGCCATATTTTCTTTTCGGAAACTTGTTGAGAAAATTCAAATAATTATACGTATAAAGCAAGAAAGAAGGAAGGTAACATCACGTAAATAAAACTAAAGAATACCATATGTATGTATATGTTATATGTTTGAGTTATGTATTATTTCCGCATTGCTTGATAAATTATATATATATACATATATATATATATATACATACATATACACAGAGAATTTTTTTTTAGAATTGATCCTGAAAGTCATGGTAATTGTGGGACAATTATGGTATTGAAAGAATTTTATGAGATTCTCTGATTAATATTATTTTTATCACAATAAAAAATTTAATATTTACCACAATAAATATCAAATATAAAAAATAAAAATTAAAATACATAATAAAATTACATGTACATAGAATAAAATTAATCGAACATATTTTTTTATACCTTATTGTGATAGATATTAATATTTTTTATTTGTGTTAAAATATTTGTGTTAAATATTAATTAAAGAAACTCTTAATAAAATTGTTTCAATATCATATTGTCTCATGATTACCATGATTTTCAGAATAAATTTTAAAAGAGAATTCTCTCTGTGTATGTTTGAATGTTTTGCTTAATATTTGAAGTCGAACAAAATATATTATACTGTTAATCCATTCTATTTTTGTGATAAAAATTTGTTTTAATTGTTTCAGTGTGATAAAGAACACGGCCAGATACATACACATACAACAGCAGGAATGCCATAATAATTTTTTCAAATTTTCCAATTTGCAACGTGTACAACAGAACGGTATGTCATTTCTCTTCTTTCTTATTATATATTTATCATATATTTCAATGTTTATGCGTTATTTTCAACTGCATTTTAAGGGAAACTATACATATATTTTCTATTGTCTTATATTTTAACCTTTGAGTATGTCTAATTATAAGAGAGAAAAGGTTTCATTTAATTGTGATATTTTGAAGTTTAAATCTTTAACAAACAGTTATAAGAGAGAGAGAGGTTTCTTTTAATTGTGATATTTTAAAGTTTAAATCTTTAATAAACGGTTATAAGAGAAAAGGCTTCTTTTAATTGTGATATTTTTTAATGCATATAGAATAAATACAAATAAACTATTATATTAAATGATATATGAATATATATAAATATTCCGAAAATGATGAATATCACTTATGATTAAGAATAACATTTTGTAAATTATTTAAATTATAACACTACATTTTTTCCACACTATGATTTCTTTCGAAAAGTTCTCTTAAGAATTATCCAGTATTAGAAATTTTTTTATAATCGACGTTTTAATTTAAAGTATTTTGCTGAACTGCCGTTAACTTACTTTCGTCTTTCGTTAATTCGGTCGTTTACCTTCGCGAATAATTGCACGCGCAAACACGTCGGTGGCCTAAATTAACGCAAAGAAGAAAATAGCGAAACATTTTGTTCCGCAGTATCCCATTACGTTCTATGGCTTTCAACGTATCGTCGTGTTATCCGGCTGATATATCTCGTATGTCTATCCACCCTCGCGCCACCGTTAATAGCAGGCAATTTCGTGTTCCCTCGGCTAACCCGTGTAATTGAGCCAATGTGTGTTAATCAGAGGCGCCTCATTTGCCACGGGAATAGTCCAAATTGCTTTTGTTACCTGGAATATCTTGGTGCGCGGCAATGCTCGTATTGATTCACAAAATTGATATTCTGCCTAAAATATGCAAAATGCATATACATATATAGCGCGAAACATCGAATTACGCGAAATGCACCGAGTATATTGATATATCCCAAAACAATACCGCATTTCTTCGATGGAATATATATTTACTTTTTTCTCTATTTTCAATATACGCATTTTTTGCGCGTAAATAATATTATATTAATTCGTAAAATATTCGGACAATGAATAATTTATGTTATGTTTTTTTTGTAAAAAAACTTGATTTTCAATATTTTTTAATTCATTTTATTTAATGCACAATGATGCTGCAACGTTCTACATGAACAGCTTTTGTGACATATTTTTATAACACAATTTCAGCACATACTTTTCGCGCCATCGCGTTCAAAATATTTCTGCCATTTTACAAGAATTTTAGGTTTGCGTATAAAATACATGACAAAATATATATATCGTTATTGAGATATAATATATTGTTTTTTGCATTAAAACTTTAATATAAAATTTTATAAAAATTTTTTTAATCTACTGATCAAAAATTATTATGATAATAGAGGTCTACGATGTAGTTGTTGACTCTAGTTCAACGTCTGTGCACTAGCGTCGTGTGCTAGAGCCTAGTACAATAATGTACTATTGTCAGGGGATCGCATTGGTCCGAATCAGCACAGTTAATTTTCGATAGGATCGAATCACCCTCATGGTAATTGTCATGACTTCAACTGCTGATCGCCTTTGTCTTGTATAATGCAAAAGTAGCACGATTGAGGCTTTTGCATGTTAAAAATCTAAAAAAAATATTAAATAATAGAAGTAAAAATTCTTAATTTATTTAATCAAATAAAATGTTTTAATGTTATTAAAAATTTAATTATTAATTTAATTTTGAGATGTGGAATTTAATATCTTAAAAATTTTAATTATTAATTTAATTTTGAGATGTGGAATTTAATATCTTAAAAATTTAATTAAAAATGTATTGTTTTACTATTAAAGTATTTTTTATTTAATTGATAAATCCAGAAACTCAAATTTCTCTTGTTTATCTATTTTTTATTTCATCTAATCTTTAAAATTTTAAATCTGATTAATTAAATTTTTGTTAATTGTTTCATTAATTTTTTGGCCCACAAATATATGTAAATTAAGTTAAATAAAATACTACTTAAAATTTATCTTATTTTAAAGTTTGATTTTTAATTTTTATAAGTATCGGATTATGTGTTTACGTGTTTGTTTGTGTGTGTGTGATATTTCTTTATATTTAAATTATTAATGTCACTTTTTATGATGAATTAAATAAACAATTTTCTATTTTATTCTTGATGAAAATAAAATATAAGGCATATGTAACAAAAATTATATGAATATAAAAATAATTACATTTAAATCTTGAATGTAGAATGTTTCTCTTACTAGAAACAATTTGAACATATATTTTTTTTTTAAGTTAATATTTCCAAAGTTTACGAAGTTTATTTTCTAATAAAGAAATTAAAATAATTTTTACCTTACAAGAAAGAATTTAAATAAATATAAAAATTGAAAGACCAAACAAATTTAAATGTTTGCATTATGAAATATTATTTATTCTATAAATTAAAAGTTCTATATTATATATTGCTGTTAATTCTCCTATAATTTAAATTTTTAAGTGAGCTATTAAAAACTTTTTTATATTTTTTAAAAATTTATTAGCAATTCTTTTATATAAAATTTTATAAAATATACAAAGAGTATAAATAGAAATATTCTTGGTATTTTTATTTAACATAACAATTAAGATTTACTAATAAGATTTAATATTATTATTCTTTCTAGAAATATAAATAAAATGCAAAGCGAAAAAATTGAACAGCAGTATCGTATATTAATAACTTCTATATTATTATTGTCCATTCATTATTCACGCACATAAGGTTTTATTAAAATTTATTGAAATCATTATATAAATAAACTTGAGTGCGGAGTAAACTTTATAATTTTCTATATACTACAATTTTGTAAATTTTATTAAAACACGTGCTTATATCTTTCAGATACCTAATTATTATTACTAATTAATTTAGATTGAACATATAATAAATTTTAAATTAATACATTTTACAAATGTATTATATTTTATTTATATTAGAAAAACATAAGCGCATACTATGCGCGCTATTCTTCAGCATTGTGTTAAAAATAATGTAAGTTTTAAAAATAGAATATGAAATTTATAATATAAAGTTTGATTAAATTCGGTTAAATTTGTTGACCGAAATCAGCCAAATAAAGTTATTAATTTACTAATTAAAGTTTAAAATAATATTTTATAAAAATGCAAATAATAATATGCTATAAATAATATATTAATCGAGTTTAAAGTATTTATAACATGATTTATAATATACTATTTTAAAATTTAATTGGCAAATTAACTGATCTTTAATCAACTGATTTTTGGCAAAAAATATTAATTAAGTTTAATGTATTATAACATGTTATTTATATAAAACAACATTATTATTTTAATTTTGTAATATATTATTATTATAAAATTTAATTAGGCAAATTAACAGCTTAAGGGGCTGATTTCTATCAAAAACTATTAATAAAGGGTTAATTTGTTCACTCAATTTGAAAATAATATGTTTTATAATAATAATAATGTTTTATAATAATTAAAATAATAATATGTTGTAAATAACGTTATAATATACGTTAAGATCGATTAATATTTTTTATATTTTATTTTTGCGGAAAAACAACAATAATGAACTTCGATATATGCGACTATATCGACTTTACATACTCTTTTTTTAGAAAAGGATTATTTAATTGTTTTATTATTGCATGCATAAAAAATAAAATTTAATACAATAATAATTGTTTAAAAAATTAAATATCTTGGGCGCTACTACAATTTTTATTCTACATATATGTTACAGATCAACATAATTGACGACACCAACAATTGAGAGAGGAGGAGGAGGTCCGGGAAAAGCGTCGGGTGCCAGTAAAATAAACTTAATGTGAGTATTTATCATTTATTTATTAGTTAATGCATTAAATTAAAGTTCAATAGTTGCATTAAGTTAACATTTATTAAATTATTTAATTATTTTCTTATTATTGTACGCACGTGGAAATTAAAATCTAATATAATAATAATTGTTCAAACAATTAATTTTCTTGCTACAATTTTTATTCTATTTATATATGTTACAGATCAACGTTACTGATTGTAGTCAACTTTGCGCTGTTTCGCAATGGTGAGTGATAAATTATTATTTACGAGGTAACGGTTTTAACGTGTGAAAATGTAGATTTGAATTGTAGACTGTAGTGTAGATTGTAGTTAGTTCCGTTACCTCAAAATGGATGAATTACAAATTATAATAGATTAAAACATATATTCAATTTATTATAAGACAATTTATTATAATTCTATTTAAAAATGGATCAAAAAACATTTAATAATACATAGTAAACTTAACTTAATTGATTTTAAAAGAGTACACTAATGATTAATTATGATTATAAATGTGTGATTTATAAATTATTTCGTAAATGATATATCATAATTACTTTTTGTTATAATTTACTTTAATGTAATTTTATACTAATATTTTGTAATCTATTCATTTTATATTGATTGGTATCTTTACACTAGTTATGCGAAATTATATTAAAACAAAGAGTAAGGAATATAATTCACATTAAAAATTAAAAATATGCTCATAAAATCTACAATTTTCTTATCACTATTTTTTTCTTTTAGTCGTATTAAATTATCTTTTCAAACTCACATTATTTATTACTTTTTACTTTGAAATTGATTGATTATATTATCGCGTAGTTTAATGAAATAAACATTAATTGCAAGCCACGAATTAATATAGATTAATGATAAACAGTTATTTATCGAGTTCTCGTCACGTATAACAAGAAACGTACGAAATTTCTTTTATAATAATATTTGTTTATTAATATCAATATTCAATAATATTTCTTATATATAAAGAGAGAAAGATATTAAAAAAATAATTAAATATAGTGTGTCGGAGATATAATAAAATTATGCTTGTTGAACAAACTGATTTCAACATAAGTATCTAGGAATTCTAAGATCTTCGAATGCTATATAAAATGTCGTGTTTAAGTGCGGGAGTGTCGTGCAAAGTATCGCGCGCTTAAATGCGAGAATAATAATGAATCGTGCAAAGTATTGCGCGTTTAGTGCGGGGGTGTCGTTTAAAGTATCGCGCGTGTAAATCAAAGAACAATGAACAATCCTAATCTGAGAGGAGGAACAGGCCTGGGGGCATCGGGCGCCGGCTGGAAAATCTTGAGGTAAACATATTTATTATTTATAGAATTCTTGTTTTATAAATTATGTATATATTTATTTCTGTATTTAAATTTAACCAAGAAAGAATTTAAAAACATACACTTTTAATATATAAAAATGTATACAAAAATTACTGTAAAAATTTATATAAAAAAATTATATAAAAAAATAGTCTACAAACTTTTTTAATTAATTAATTTTTTTTAAATTATTGTACGCGTTGGATATAAAATTAAATAGGTGCAATGATAATTTTTAGAAATATTAATGATTTTGACCGCTGCTATAATTTGAATTCTATTTGTATGTTACAGATCAGCTTTGTCATCATCTTCGATGCAGATTGGTGAGTGAATTATTATTTTATTAGGAGGTAACGCCTTAGTAGAAATTAGACTAGATAAATGTAGTAGATTTAGATTGTAGACTGTAGATTGTAGATACGTTACCTCAAAATGAATTTTCCTATATTTTTAAATACGTTCTTTCAGTTTTTAAAATAGTTTTAATCATTAACGGTGATAATGATGCTACGAATAATTAAAGTTCTTTAGAAAATGAGAGAATACGGTTTAATTGATAGGAAAATTCTGATAGAATTAACCTTTGTAATTAGTTTAGAGAGAGCTAATTGTAGTTATAAATTATAATCTACTGTATATTACATAACAACAAATCTATTGTAAATTATACGAACATTTCCCGAAAAAGCGCGTAACAATATACATATATAAATAACAATAACAATATAATAAAAATTTCTTAAATGTGCATTTTTCTAAAGTATTTATGTATTTTAAATTAAAAAAATTATTTATTTTCTATTTTCATATATCGTTATAATTTTTATTACAATTAGAGTTTGCTTACTTTCTCATATGTGTTTCTCATGTGTGTCTTATATGCATTGCTCTATCATATTGTTAAATATTTTAACGACAAGTTCTGCATTAGAAATCTATGTATGACACACTGATGAAAATTGCACATTTGTAAATCGAGATATCAGGAGAATCCATCATTAAGAAAATTATTTATGATTAATACTCAAATATGATATAACTTACAGTACTAGCTGAAATGCAAGTACTAATTCTAATATAACGTATAGTAAAAAATTGTCAAGGCATATAATATTTAGTGTTAAGCCTCATATTTTTGCGTAAAGGTCTATGACGACGCCGCGAACATGGCGGCGACCATAATTCTGTCGACGCAAAGCGTAGTATAGCCGAGATGACATTTGTTATCTCGCACAGGACACATGAGCGTCCTGGGAGAAGTTTTCTACTCCTCTTAATCGCCGGTCGGCTCAGAGACTCGGAAGTTTCTTTTCTCCGCCGCCCAACTCCGTCGCATTTACTTCTAACGGAGATCGCGGCAACTTTTCCTTAATATAACTAAATGACTGGTCTGAAGGCCGTCGAGAGAATGTTCTCGTGAAAGTTGGCGCCGCGAAGATGAAGAAGCCGCAACGGTTCCGAGACCTGCTCTCGGATTAGACTAGTTTACCGAGATGGTGCCTCGCACCCTGTAACTGTTACGGTTGCACTCTCGGAGTTCCTTTTACGTGACATTTGATAAGACTCTTCAAAGGCGAATTTTAATTGCTTGTTAACAAATCTTAGAATTGAGCTATTAGGAAATTTTTGCTTCATTTCGAGACACATCTCTCATATCTATTTTATAGAAATCTCTCCGTATCTATTTTAATATTGAATTTATTTTAACATTGAAATATTAAAACTATAAATAAGTCAATAATTCGTGTAATTTAAAAATAAATTGTACCGTAAAATAAATAAGATTTAATAGAAACATTTTTTAAACGACGGTACTCAAGTTTTTGATTTTGCTGAAAGAAAGTCGGTTTTACAATGAAACTAATTTCGGATAAACTAATATAAGATTATGATTGAATAAGAATTTAATAATCATACACTTGTTCAAAGTAAATACATACATTATAGCGGATATATAAATAAATTAATATTTCAATGTTTGTATTACCTGAACGTCGCGTTGCACCAATCGCGCTCTAATTGCATCTCACGGGGCCACAATAGATCTCTCTTCCGAATAGATCCTTTGCACGGCTCTCTGTACAGAAAAGGGAGCCTTTGCTCGTTATCCCAATCGCGAACGAATCTTATCTTCTTCGTGTGGTTGGTCCAGACGCGTTTGCCATAAATCTTGGGGTGAGAGAGGCGGTCGAGTTAGTGTTACGTATGCGGGACGAGTCCGGTCGCGAAACAACCCCCTTGTTTCGAGTCCGCCGCGTCACCCTTGAGGCCGGCTTTCTGTTCTGACCACCATCTCTAGCTCGGACTAACTCGAGACTCTGTTGTGTTTGAGAGGGAGCGAGAACGAGGGTGAAAGAGACAGACAGAGAGAGAGAGTCTTCTTCAGTTTTCGTGGTATGTGTGGTCACCAAACACGTTAGCCGCGTATGTGCACGTCTCGGGATAGGTGAACGCATCTCGCAGTGGTCTCGCTGGTATGCTCGGGACAATAATCGTACCGTCGAGGATGCGCAAACATTGTGCATATATGCACCGCACGACGTCCGCTGGCAGCCAACGTGCGCCTCCTTTGCACAGAAATCGTCACGTGTGTCATGCCCTTTTTCCTCCCTCTATATCACGCTTTCTCTCTCTTTTTCTCTTCCTCTGTTTCTTTTTCTCTCTCTCTCATTCTCTTTATCCCTAGTTCCTCGCGGTTGTGTACTTGCTACCGTTTACAGCGTATCCCGGGATATGCTAGTCTATATAGGTACCGGCAGGACATCGTGTATGCTTCTCTCGTATATGGACATTTTCTGACTTCGGTATGCGAGTCTTTCCGCAGCATTGCTGCGCAGCCCGTGTCATGATTTTGAAATATAAATCTATATATAGTTGATCGTAGTATTTTCCGGTGAAATGATATTGAAAGGAAGAAGGAAAGAAAAATACGATACGATACAGATAAAATATTATCACCGATTTGCTTTTTACGACGAGATAATTTCTTAGCGAAAGAATTTTCCGAGTAAAAATCGAAAGGAAAAAATCTTACAACGTAGGCAAAGAGAAGAATGGAGAAATGGCAGTTTCTTGAACAGCGTAATTTGTACTTCGACATGGTCGCATCTCTTAAACCGAGGCCGTTTACTCGCTGGCTCTACATGGCGCGGAATTTCCGCAGCAATTATTATGCTAACGAATGTACCCGCGCGCCTTTATTCCACCGCAGCGCGTCCGCCGGATGGTTGGCTGGTTGGCTGGACTGCGAAAATTTGCAAGAAAGACCGCAGGTAAAGGATGCGGTTGTAACTTCTTTTTGTTTTTTTTTTTCCCCGGCAGACAACTCTAATTGGGTAGCGACGCGCGGATAACGGGCCGTACTCTCGCGCATATACGAAGCGCTTAAAATTAGTTGGCACCGCGATTTAAGGGTGTAAAGGTATTCGTCCTTTTATAAATCTGGATGGCCAAATCTATTCCGGGAACGTTCTCGCGATGTGAATCTCTCGATTCGCGCGCATCGCCGAAACAAACAAATTTCCGTTATTGATTCGTCTATGAAAGAAAGGGGAAGAGAAGAGAAAAAGAGACGCGTACGGTATCGTCCAACCATCCAAATCGCCCGATCCAAAATTCTTTTACGATAACACCGTATCGACAATAGCACGGCTTATCGAAATTTCTCCTTGTTGCGTTGTAAAACCAGGAGGAGAACTCTCGGAACTCTTTTCTCAATCGAAGTTCCGACAACGTGCGCAACGTTCGCGTGCCGACAAATATTTCCGACATTTTTGTTGCCTAGATATTTACATCGCGATGCAACGCAAGCTCTTTTTCTCTCTCTATCCCTTTCTTGTATCCGAAGAAAAATTGTGGAGGGGTTTGAAGAAAATTGCGCGTTCGATTTCTCTTTGAAACACGATAAAATTACGAATAAAATATTCCTTGAGAAAATTAACAGTTAAGGTATCATTTCATGTGCAACATACTGTCACAACAGTTTGTTGCTATTGGTGA